GACTGTGGGGACATCTGGATGCACCAAGGGTATCTGTGACACACCAGTGCCTCAATGCCTTACACAGAAAACATGTAACCTGAGAGGCTAAACTGGAGGAGTGTGTGCGTGCCTGGTCTTTTTCATTTCTTTTTTTACTTCTCTGCTCCTTCCCCACCAACTGGCCTTTTATCTTAGTCACAGCTCCTGGGTCTTCTTTGTAACGGTCATTCTAACTCTTAAACACACAGGAGCCAGGTCAGAAAAGTGACTCAGCAAACCACATGGTGTCATTTAAAAAAAAAAAAAAATTCCCTCTCCTTTAGAACTTGAATTGAATATTCGGCCAGTTAAGAAACCCAGGCCAAGATCCTACAACTCCACAGGAGCCTTGCCTCCAGACACTATTTGCTATGCATAAAATTCCTAAGAAAACCCTCTTCCATTGCTAGTTCTAATATCTATCTGTCTCATGCCGCTCCCCTCCCAAGTCACCCCTTATTTTACACTGGAAGGACCATAACTGTGCAAAATGAAACTACTTCTAGTTGTGCTTGGGACTTGACTATTTTAAGAACACCCTCCCTCCCCCCCCATGAAATCCTTTTGAAAATAAAGAACTACCCTTCAATATAGCTTTAGTGTCCATTTAACTTAATAAAACTCACACCTACTTAGAGAAAGATATATTTGTCCTCTGAAGGTGTGGCCTGAGCTCCCAAAAGACAGCCCATTGCATCTACTCTGGTTGTTTTATTTTACATGGGAGAAGTAGAGCCCTGTTCTTATTAGGGTACCATTAGGGGCTCTGAACACAGGGCCTTCTTATTTCAATTTTGTCGGGTAAATCAACACTTCAAAACACTCGGACACCACGAGGTATGTAAATAAAGCAGCAAGTACGTGAAAACAGTGCCCATTTCAATACTTGTTGATTAAACAAGAAGCAATGTCTCAGAATTCTTTCTCTTCTAATCAAAAAGACTGTGGGAGGAATTCGCTTGTGCCGTTGGTGTGCGGACTTTAAAAAGTGCATACGTATGGGCTATGCTCATGGAATTGATTTCTTTTTTTTTCAAAAGAGGGTACACCCAAGGGCTCCCTGGAACTGAGCGCCTTCTGGCTAACTAATGTCACGACCCCAGTATTTTTCACTACCCGGTCTACTTGGTGCCCAGCAGTTCTACTTAAACAACGAAAATCTCTGCAACCAACAGCAGGGAGGGTCTGAAATCTCCATCACCGACATTGCCTGCCAACCCCCCAGCCTCCCTGCAGAACTACTGCAGCCCTCCCTCTCTGCAGTGCCCCACGTCCACCCCAGATTTGTGATGATCGGGGTATCAGCTCTAGAAAGGTCTAGTTATTTGCTGTCTCCACTCTTCCAAACAGGAGCAGCTTCCAGTGCCTCTGGATCCCCCCCACACACTTAGAGCCCCTACCTGCACTGCAGTCTTTGAATCTGAGCCTCTCTTCCTTTGAAATCTGCTTAAAACTCACCTCTTCCAAGAAGTTGTTTCTTGATCAAGCACAATGTATTGTAATCACTTATTATTTTATGTCCCTAGGTCCCCAGATACTTCCCTCAATAAGTATATCAATTGTAATTGTTACCATTACAATTGTAACTGTGGATCTGGTCCACAAACCATGTGATGTCCACCAGTTCCAGAATGATGTATCTGACAGGGACCAAGGTGTGGGATGCTCCAAGGCTGGGTGTTGTCTCTGTCCACTTCTGTTTCACTTGGTACCAGTCCTTGATTGCCATCTCCCAAGAGAGTAGGTAGGGTGTGTAATCTTTATTGGGATGCCGCAAAGATAGGGACCCATCATCTTGTCGGGTAGTAGGCTGGATCGTTGATGACTGGCTAATTCCCAGGGTTGATCTTTGGAACCAATTAGAAGATTTGCTTACCTGAGTTAGCTTTGCCAAAACACAGGGTGGGTCCCAAGAAGTCCCCGCCTTGAGCATCGTGGAAACACGTGGTTGCTCACACAAGAGCTTCAAGGCCCTACCGGTCTCTCAAACACGTTCTTAAAGGTGCCGAAATCCACCCCACCTCCCCTTTAGTCAATTTTTTGAATAGAGACATCCCAGGCAGCTAGCGAATTACAGATGTGTTCCTCAGGAGGGAAGGAATGCCCTGCTGTAGTAGAGGTGCCTTAGCGCCTGGGGGCGGTGTTGCCATAAAGGAGAAGGGATTTGCTGGGAAGGGGATGGTGGGTCGCTGGAGTCAAATTACCATCTTCCTAAATGCTAAACGCCTGCTGCGCTCCGAGCCTCCGACGAACCATTCATCCCCAGGCAGCCAGCAGGTGTAGAGCGCAGGCACCTTGGTGCAGTGTGTGTCTGTGTGTTTGAAATTTCATTGGTTTGGCTGTGGTTGCGCCTTGACTGTAAAGGGAATCCTCCTTCCCCCATAAATGGGTTGGGAGACTGAAATACTAACTCACCCACCCACACTTCCCCTCCCCTAGGCAAGGAAGGTGGCGTTGCCAGCGCTGAGTTAAGTTGCAGTAGCTCCCAAGTAGCCTAGACGCTGATTCAGGCCTGGGCTGTGCAGGACCAGCGCCAGGGAATTCCGGGGAGACTCCCCTGTCCAAACTGTGGAAACCCAGCGTTACCACTCGACTCAGGAATTTGCTAGTGTCGTCAGTGTGCGGACTTTAAAAAGTGGAATGCGTGGCGCCAGCTCCTAGTCTACATGGGATCTATGCTTCCTTCCCCACGGCGTCGAGACTGCGCTGGGCAAAGGCCACTCACGTTCTTCTTGCGCAGACCTTTCGAGGAGCCCAAGATGGTCTGAGGGCCTCTGGGAGCCCAAGAAAGATCCTCTTGTTCCCCAACTCACGGAGCAGAACCCTTTAAACTTTGAACCACCGAGTTGCCCTCTGCCCGCGCGCAGATGGGCCTGGGGCGGGGAGACTTGGTTGCAGGTGGTAGTCTCTGGGAGCGGGATAGGCGCAGCCAACTCTTCTTACTCTTGCACCCAGCCCACCCTTGAGCAACAGATTGGCGTCGGGGAGCCAGGACTGCACAGGCGCCACAGCTGGCCAAGGTAAGGAGTGCATTCTGTGTGCGTGTGCGTGTGTGTGAGAGAGAGATTGCGAGAGAGAGAAGCGCGCGCGAGCGAGCTGGCTCTAAGGGGCGTCTGGTACTGCTGGGCGCTGGATTGGCGCCTGTTTTTGGCCTCATTTGTACTCCGCTGCAAATAACTACACCCTTAAAAATGAAAAAGAGCAAATTCTCATACTAAATACGCAAAACCACAGAAAATACGCATCTTTCTACCATCCAGGAGATCACACTTTCTGGGGCTGCTTCAGTGAACGAATTTGGTTGTCATCGAGTCTGTTGCAGGTAGCAGGGAGCTCATATTGGGGGCTCAGTCTTCTCCCTGCCCTCTTCCCTTAAGATATTCCCGCAAATTCACCGGAGAAGACCTAAGCAGATTCGGTTGCAGGAATTCGGGATGGAGGGCTTTGTGCAGAATGTAAAGTGTGTTGTAAAAGCGAGAATTCGATTTGGTTGCAGTGGATCGCAGGCGAAATTGAAGATTAGGTGGGATCGTGGTTCCACAATCTTCTCCCGCTCTCCTGGGCTCTAAATTCATTTCTCCGCCCAATGAAATCATGGGGCTTGGGAAGGTGCCTAACAGCTGAGGCGGACTAGGTATTGTGCGTGTGTGTTTGCAACTACTGAAAAGTAGCTTCCAGGGGACGCCAAGTTGGGGCCCGAAGGCGGATGTCGCGCAGTTTTCAGGGGAAGGGTGTGGAAAGGGGCCCCTCCCCCTCCATTCGGACTGGAGAGAATAAGCGGACTTCAGAAGGTGCGCGGGTTCGCGCTAGATCTTTCTCTCGCGCGCTCTCAACATCCCCCCCCCTCCTTGTTCACACTCACGCACATTCCTCGCATTTAGAGAAGAAAAGAATCAAATTCAAGGAATGTTGATCCCCGCCGCTGCCAATGGCAGGACTGGGCTGTCTTGAGTGATTCCTC